CGTGGAAGGAATAGCGGAATCCAGTAAATAATTTTAGATGGATAAATCAAAAGTAGATCAGTACACTTAAATCAAAACAATATAGACTAGTGTCTGTGAATATTAAACCGCAAAATACTATTTAAATATGAAACCTGCATGTTCTGCGTTTCTCATGTGAATGAATGGCGGTTTCGTTTCCTACACACATACTGAAGCGCGTGTGACGCTCGCGGCATGCAGCAACCCATCAAAAAAAGTTTGGTTTAACTTGAAGAAACTGTGACCGAAATATATTACTTAATGATACTACTACTACTACTACTACTACAATTACAATTATTATTATTATTATTATTAGAACATTATTTTTAAAGGAATATTTACCAGAAAAAATTTTACCAGAATTTATTTAGCAGAAAAAAATTTAAATAAACATTTATATTTGAGAAAAATAAAACATTTCATAGGATCTTAATGTAATTTTTGTACATAATTGAAATATTTAAGAGCAATTTATTTAGTTAATTAGACCTGCTTTTTGATTAATATAATTTAACATAAGTATTAAACGAGTCTAAAAAAATTTAAACTGAAAAAAAAAAAGGAATCCAGAAATATTTAAGCAGAAAAAACTGAATTTGGAAAAAAAATAAATAAAACCGATTTCATAGGGCCCAAATTAAAAACGGACCCAAGCCATAGAGACCAGAATATCAGAGGCTAATCTACTAATGTGGTGTGCAGGAGTAAATTAAATCCAGTGAGTAAATCTTGACACTAGGCACATTAAAATGCACACATCATGCTAATAACAACTACAAAAAGTAGATTTAGTTTATTTATATAACCGGTTTTATTGGTTTACATGCAAACCAATTACCCAACAACACAAGAAAAGCAGATTTTTTTTTTTTAACTCGTCTTGTAAAGACGGTTATTTATTTCCCAAAGATGATTCTACTCAAGAGTATTCTCTTTATTACGCAAGTTGTGATGTTAAAGCATAAAAACCCTGGAGTATTCCAAAATGTCAGCAGGAAACTTGTACAGACTCATTTTTCTCACATTTTTTTCCCCCTCTCTCCAACTCTACCACTGTGCTTACAATATCTAGTAAGCTTCAATAATAACAAAATGATCTTGAACTTTGTCATAAACCATAATTAAGTGAACCGATTTAAAATGAACATAACCGATTCTGCTGTGGACAGCATCTTCTGGCAAGACAATGGAACTCATTTGCCTCAATCCTCACAAAGCATTATGGGTACTGGAGCTGTTGAATGTTCATAGTTTGTACACTCAGAAATGCAGTGCATTATGGTAAATGGTATTGAACGAGTGCACTCAATATCCACGGTTTTTTTGTACACCACCAAAAAAAATAAATAAAAAGACCCGTCCCTTCAAATAGTGCACTATATTAAGGAGATTTCAGACAAAGCCTTAAGGCTCTTTGGCTAGTAGGGATGTAACGATTAATCACGAGCCGGTTGAAAATCGATTCAAATGTGTGACAATTCAAATCGGTTGAGATGCTAAACAAATCGCGATTCATTTAGGTGTAGGAGTTTATATGAATGCATGTCTGAGGGGAACTTACTGTCTTTAGAAAAGTTTATAGTGTCAGTTACAATCAACCAACACACCCTGGAAACGGCAGAACAAAGCCCTAGCGACCCCCAAGAACACTTTAGCAACACACCAACATTGCCAGTGTGCAACCGCCCAGTAGCCAATTGTGAAACACGAGCAGAACAAATTGTCCAAATCCTTCATAAAACCATTTGCCTTTATGCATTCGGCAGATGCTTTTATCCAAAGTGACTCAAAGTGGATTAAAGAAACATTTTTCGGTAAATCAAACTGATAATCAAACACACAACCTTGGTGTTGCTAATGTTTGAGCTACAGGAATACAAAGCAATTGTTGCAATAACTTAAAGATGCACAATTGTTTCCAACATACCGTATTGTCCCGAATATAAGACGATGTTTTTTTCTTGGGGTCGTCGTATAATCAGGGTTGTCTTATATTCGGGCCAATACGGTATTCGTTTGTTACATTTACATTTTGTCATTTAGCAGACGCTTTTATCCAAAGCGACTTACAAATTAGGACAATGGAAGCAATCAAAATCAACAAAAGAGCAATGATATACAAGTGCTATAAGTCTCAAGTTTGTTCTGTTTGCATTTCATAAATGAGGCCCAAAGTAATGTAATTATTTACTTTTATTCTCAGTACAGCACTGAGGTAATGCATAATTCCGATCTCTTCTACTCTTTAATCCTTCAGTAATCCATACTAGCTCTGTCTGTGTTTACCGTCTGTACGCTCGCTTTAGCTAAATGCTTAAAGAGACTTTTTGCCATTCGGGTTTACACAATAGGATCATGATCATGGTCTTATGGGGTCATTAAGAGACCATCTTAGGAGCACTTTAGTGGTGTTTCAAAGGTCTGGCACACCTCACCGTGAGATGACTCATAGATGCTGATGGGCAATGTTTATGTGACTAATTTGAGTAATGTTTACATGTTTATTTGAAATGCACCTCCCATCCTGGATGTTCATATGGCTTCCTTGCATTTGCGTGATTTGAACAGTGGTCCTCTTTAAACGTCCAGACAGGATGTTGTCTAATTAGATGACACCATGGAGCCGCAGCTGCCGTCAGACAAGTGATGCTTTGACGGACCAAATTTAAAAAGCCATTAGAGAAATGTACAGTAGCTACCGGTGATACACATGAAAGTGTATTGAAAGTGTATGAAGAGTGTTATTTCGAAACTACTAAGAAAGCACAATGACTATGACATTTCAAATACTGCAGAAGTATGCAAAATGACCACCAAGTTTTGGTGTCTGTTGTGAGTGGTTGCCAGGGTGCTGTTATGTGGTTTCTAAGATGTGCCTTTAGCATGTAAGCATGTAAGTGGCCTTCAGCGTGTTTTTAAAGCATTCTGACTGGTTGCTCACTAGCCAAACAGCCCAGAAGTACTTGCCTTAGAAAGCCACACCAATGATTGTTTCCCAAACATTTCAGCCGATTAGCGCCACCTTTAGTTAGCTGTTGGTCAGATAATCAGGGTGTTTTGCCCAAAAATTACACCATTGGTTGAGCTCAAATATAAAGTTTAAAGGGGTCCACTTACAATGTTATCAAGATTTGTACATAAAAAAAAATATCATAATTTAGAAGTAATAGGCTATTTTCTGTCCTGTTTTGACCGCCTTCATCGGAACACTCTGTTTAAATAGGCATGGCAGATTGTAATCTCGGAAGTAAATGCTCGCTGCTATGATTGGCTAACAGTTGTGTATGTTTGACAGCCTACGTCCTTCATAGATAGACGCTGCTGTGATTTAGGTTAAAAAAAGGATAAATACTCAGTACATATAAAACAATCTGTAATAATAGACAAAGCAATAGTGATCACGTAATAAAAACAGTTACTCACACTTGTGTGTTGCGACATTACTGTCAGATCCAATATAGTCGGCACAGCATCATCTTATAGTTTAACTCTTTCTGAAAATCCTGCGTCAAATCGTGCCTTGTTTGTAAACGAATCTGCGGTACAATGCAGTAAACAAAGGACTAAGTTCTTACTGATATGGTCTGGCACTTCATTAAAAATTAAAGTTCATCATTTGGTTTCTGCGTAGACCTGCGTTTGCCGCTCTTGTCATTTACCTACCATGTGCGCTAATGGGTGGGCGGGGCTAAACAGGCAGTGATGCAGAAGCAGGCATTGATCTTCTGCGGAGGTGGTGTTTATCCACGCTATCATTTCATAAAGTGGCACATTCCCACAACCTGTCGGTTTTGGCAAATTTTAGACTAACGAGAAAGTTTTGAGTTCTGAAACTTACAGGATGTTTTTATAGCACAATGACTATCAAAAGATCAAGGAATTTTGATTTCTCAGTTCATGACCCCTTTAAATAACATTCTAAAAAGCACCCGTGAAAACAAACCAGAATAGAGACTGAACGAGGATTTGGGAAAATGACAGATTTATCACATTCCAGTGAATTATTTATGAGATGTGTTCATTAAACTGGGAGAGTTGATCACAAGAGTACAGTATTTGTGGTCTTTTCCATATTGTTACCGTGGAAAAGAAAAATAAACTAATTCAAAGGAACAGAACACAGAACAGAAGGATATAATGGAACATTTTAGTCTGCTATTGTGTTTGTGATAATGTCACATTAAAATTCCAAGCGTTACATTATTTTCCCTGATGGATAAAAATGCAGCATGATGGAAAATCCACGTGATATTTAGATAAGAAACTTATTTGAAATAATTTTTCAGTTCTTTTGAGTTGAAGTTCCACAAAGGTAATGTGCCACATAAGAGGAGGAAGGTCATCACAGTAAATAGTACTTTTTTTTTAAAAATTTTTTTTAAATAAAGTAAATTAAGTATTTTTACATTTTAGCCAATAATGTAAAATTCTCTCTACAAAATCTCTCCCAGCCCATTCAATAGCAATTCAAACCACAGTTTCTCTTCAGCAAATTTAGTTTAGTCCCCCTCACAAAGACAGAACGTACTGAATTCACAATAGGCATGGGGGCGGAGCACATTGGTGAAAAGATCCCCACCAAACACCCCACCTTGGAATTTTTTTTTCCTGGTGAAGGTCACAGTCCACTGCTCTTCATTGGCATCCCGGCCGGTTCCTCAGACTGCAATGCTTTTGTGTACAGACCCTTTTTCCCACACACCCCTTACCAAATACGCCCCTTCAGCCCAGCACTGGCCCCCTCTTGCCCAAACAAGAAACAAAACTAAACAAACGCAGAGCTGGATCTATTTAAAGAAGCCTCCAATTCCAAATTTAGCCCCATCTAAAGAAAACGGACATGCAAGACTGAGTTCTTTGGAAGCGGTTCAGAAATATGAAACCTGTTCATGCAAAAGGTCCTGCTTACAACGCAAGACCTAGTGAAAACATAAACGTGTTTTGCAGTAAATAACCAAGTGAAACAGCCGCATTACCTCGTTTCCGTGCATGTTGCCCACGTATTTGAATTCCGGGATGCCCGTTCTGTGTTCTCTGGGATGTTGACCCAGTATTAAGACCCAGAGTTCTCTTCCTAGAAAGACAAAATGTAAATGTTAATCGACTTCAAACAAATGTTTCAATAAGCGAGTCAGTGCATTTGCAACTGAATTAAGTGCTGTGGATCTTGTGCTGGTCACATGATCAATGTCTCTGTTTTCTCAGTTAACCAGATACTCAAATAATGTTTTTGCACAGTTTGGGCAGGAACCTGGCAACCCAATCCCATGTAATCTCACGTCTAGCTTTCATTCACTCTGTCTGCTTGTCTTGGCCTCCGAGGACTACTGAATATGGAGATCTCATATTCACTGTGCAAGTTGAAGCATGCTTGCTTCAGGACAACTAAAAAAGGAGAGAAATCATCAAGATGGGCTTAAAAAGGGAAATTAAGTCTTCCAAACCATGACAGATAACCGTTTGTCTTATTTTGAATTTTTTTTCCAAGGGTGAATTTAATCAAAATATTATTACGATTTAATGTAGCTTTTCAACATTAAATCTTAAAATATGAATATAAAATATAAACTTAAATGGTCTGATAAGCACCCGCAATACTCTAGCACTTTCCTATGTGGAACTTGCAGTTGGTCTACCTGGGAGAATGCTTTCCATGGTGTACCTTTACAAAGATCATCGTGGGCCATCCTGAACATCAGGCGCTAAAGGTAGGGGTACTACTATTGTGCCTCCCTAAGTAAGCTGTGGTGTGTGTGGTCCATGTAAAGTTCTCTAAGGTGTGGACCTGGAGATACTTGAAGCCTTTCAGTCTCACAACAGGGGCCTCTCTCCAAGTACACAATAGTCTCGTTGACACCCCTAAGGGGAATAAATACGAGATGGGAGGAACATATATTTTTCAGTATTTTATCTCGCAGTTATATCATTGGGCAATTATACTGTATATAAATTGTGGGCATCAGGGAGCCGCTATTATGCCTGGCATTGAAACTGCTTTTGAATGCGCGATCGCTTTTTAGTTTCACTTTCACTTTCGAGATTCGCGATCGCACGCACTCTGTTTATACTATCGAACGGCAGTACTTCCCACACATTTTACAAGATTATATGTTTGTCAGTGGTGCTCAGTATCTGCAAATCATTTGCCATCTTCCTCAGTCATCTCCCCTTACTCCGTTTATGTGGTAAGTGAAATGTTATGTACTGTAATGTAACAGTCAACAGTTAGCAATCGTTATTTGTTTTCCATGCGTTTTTCCGTGCCATTCCAAATACGTATCGGGCTTCGGGCACAGCTCATATCACAGTGTACAAGTGCACCAAATCCTTCTCTGAGAACCAGAAGATGCTTTTCACCACATTATAATCATATATAGGCTATCTTTCCACCTATAGTCTCTAATGGCCTGTTCGACATTGCCGAAAATCTACCATGCCAACAATCTTTTAACTAAAATGTTTATTAGTTTCAGTGACATTTATTCCTTCATTCTAGTTCAGTTTTTATTTAATTCTACTCAAACTCTCTGTTTAGTCAGTTTTGGGGAGGTTAAAACTTTGGAGTTCAACATATTGTTTCAGAAATGCAAAAAAACGTAAGATTGAAAATGAAACGTAATTTGATTGGTTTTATTTTGTTTAAGTTAGCTTTAAGAAAATAACTATGACTGTTTGTAAAATTTTATTTGATTATTAAATTCATTTTTAAAAAAGGAGAAACACTCTGTTTATACTATCGAACGGCAGTACTTCCCACACATTTTACAAGATTATATGTTTGTCAGTGGTGCTCAGTATCTGCAAATCATTCGCCATCTTCCTCAGTCATCTCCCCTTACTCCGTTTATGTGGTAAGTGAAATGTTATGTACTGTAATGTAACAGTCAACAGTTAGCAATCGTTATTTGTTTTCCATGCGTTTTTCCGTGCCATTCCAAATACGTATCGGGCTTCGGGCACAGCTCATATCACAGTGTACAAGTGCACCAAATCCTTCTCTGAGAACCAGAAGATGCTTTTCACCACATTATAATCATATATAGGCTATCTCTCCACCTATAGTCTAATGGCCTGTTCGACATTGCCGAAAATCTACCATGCCAACAATCTTTTAACTAAAATGTTTATTAGTTTCAGTGACATTTATTCCTTCATTCTAGTTCAGTTTTTATTTAATTCTACTCAAACTCTCTGTTTAGTCAGTTTTGGGGAGGTTAAAACTTTGGAGTTCAACATATTGTTTCAGAAATGCAAAAAAACATAAGATTGAAAATGAAACTTAATTTGATTGGTTTTATTTTGTTTAAGTTAGCTTTAAGAAAAGAACTATGACTGTTTGTAAAATTTTATTTGATTATTAAATTCATTTTTAAAAAAGGAGAAATCATCTTTAAAATTTCACAGGGGTTTGAATCAGATTCAGTCAGATAGTCAGTTTAAACCCAGATGGTTCATCTTACCCACTGACTCGGGTCAACTTACCCTAACCTGGAGCAAATTGAGCCACAGGAACACTTTTTTTTATAAGCCGCAATATTTTTAGAACCCTTTGTCATAGATACATTCAGATAATTTAAAATGATAGTAAACATCCTGAAATTACTTCAGATACTTTCATTGTACTTCTGCCTCATTTTCCCTTACCTTGAGGACCGCATAAGTAAAAAATGGCTCATCTTACCCCACTCTCCCCAACGTATTATTCGACACCAGAATGTTATTAAAACAGCCTCTGAAACTGGAAATATAGTAGGATACCAACAATTTAGGAAGAATTTGGTGCTGAATGCACAATTTATTCAGTTGTTCAGGATGTCTCAGTTCATAGTTTATGAAAAAAAATCTAACACTGTCAAATTCTGTGAATGGGTCAAACTATTAGAAAGTGGACTTCTAACAGTACGTCAGAGCATCCTGTACGTGCTCAAACGTGCATGTCAATATTATTGCTACGTTCACAAATACCATCTATATAGAACTTTAACAGCTTATTTTGGCATTGTCTAGACTGATTTGACGACATTTTGACAGCGAGTCCTGTTCAAACTGTTTATTACGTGAGATACTTGAAGCCTTTCAGTCTCACAACAGGGGCCTCTCTCCAAGTACACAATAGTCTCGTTGACACCGACACAGACTCCTAAAGTGTCAGGTTGTCCAACAGATTAGCTACTTTTGTATACATTAAATTCCTGTAAAATTACTGGATTAACTTTTCTGTTCAAACATAGGGGAGAGTGGGGTAAGTTGACCCACCCCCCGTATCATGGCAACTGTACACCTTTACTGTCATGTGACCATGTATTTTGGAATCACACAATTTCTCCATCACACAATTTCTGCAAGACTGTGAAAAGGAGAGACACGTGAGAGGAGTGGAAGGCACCCATTTATTTTAAAAACTGTTTTTGGCTTGTCAAAGTAACATTTTAGCATAATATATGTAATGGCTGTTACATCAAAGCAAATTTATCCAGGTCTAAAAATATTTATGATGCATATAGGTGATTTAGCAACATATAAAACCGTACAAATCATTTAGCTAAATATTAGCCTGAATTGGTAAGCTAGCTAGCTTTTTCCAAAATGCCAGCTATGGGGAAAAGTGAGCCAAATGATGTGGGGTAAGTTGAGCCATCACTTTAACTTACCCTACTATAAGGCACTGAAGTGAAGTTAAATCTCTGAAGTATAAACTGGTATTTTAATGTGATATTACGCAACTGGTTTAGTTTGTCATATATATAGTAGGGTTGGGCCGATAGACGATGCTATCGCCGATGGCTGATATACATCATGACGTTGAGCCGGCATCGCGATACCCTCGCACCCCCCCCCCATACCCGCCGCGTCCCAATACCGTGTTCCGAAAGAAAATGACGTGTAATACGGAATTTTTCAGTATTTTATCTCGCAGTTATATCATTGGGCAATTATACTGTATATAAATTGTGGGCATCAGGGAGCCGCTATTATGCCTGGCATTGAAACTGCTTTTGAATGCGCGATCGCTTTTTAGTTTCACTTTAACTTTCGTGATTCGCGATCGCACGCACTCTGTTTATACTATCGAGCGGCAGTACTTCCCACACATTTTACAAGATTATATGTTTGTCAGTGGTGCTCAGTATCTGCAAATCATTTGCCATCTTCCTCAGTCATCTCCCCTTACTCCGTTTATGTGGTAAGTGAAATGTTATGTACTGTAATGTAACAGTCAACAGTTAGCAATCGTTATTTGTTTTCCATGCGTTTTTCCGTGCCATTCCAAATACGTATCGGGCTTCGGGCACAGCTCATATCACAGTGTACAAGTGCACCAAATCCTTCTCTGAGAACCAGAAGATGCTTTTCACCACATTATAATCATATATAGGCTATCTCTCCACCTATAGTCTAATGGCCTGTTCGACATTGCCGAAAATCTACCATGCCAACAATCTTTTAACTAAAATGTTTATTAGTTTCAGTGACATTTATTCCTTCATTCTAGTTCAGTTTTTATTTAATTCTACTCAAACTCTCTGTTTAGTCAGTTTTGGGGAGGTTAAAACTTTGGAGTTCAACATATTGTTTCAGAAATGCAAAAAAACATAAGATTGAAAATGAAACTTAATTTGATTGGTTTTATTTTGTTTAAGTTAGCTTTAAGAAAAGAACTATGACTGTTTGTAAAATTTTATTTGATTATTAAATTCATTTTTAAAAAAGGAGAAATCATCTTTAAAATTTCACAGGGGTTTGAATCAGATTCAGTCAGATAGTCAGTTTAAACCCAGATGGTTCATCTTACCCACTGACTCGGGTCAACTTACCCTAACCTGGAGCAAATTGAGCCACAGGAACACTTTTTTTTATAAGCCGCAATATTTTTAGAACCCTTTGTCATAGATACATTCAGATAATTTAAAATGATAGTAAACATCCTGAAATTACTTCAGATACTTTCATTGTACTTCTGCCTCATTTTCCCTTACCTTGAGGACCGCATAAGTAAAAAATGGCTCATCTTACCCCACTCTCCCCAACGTATTATTCGACACCAGAATGTCATTAAAACAGCCTCTGAAACTG